ACTAAAAACATAGGGATTAATCATAGTAATATGAATATGATTTGAGATTAAACTCTTAAGATTAAACTAAACTCTAATATAATAAATTCTGTTCATATTTGACAAAAAATACAAAAATTGAGAACATCTTTTTGGGAATTCGCTTAAAATCACCTGACACCTTATCCGTCTAGACGATACGATAAATGCAGAAGTGTTTCACATTAGTTCGTAAGAACAGATATTTTCTTGTCAGTTTTCTCGCTTTACGTGATTTGTCAAAATAAGTAATGTATGGGATTCCACGGTTTAACAAATGGTTACACATGGGAGAGCATTATAAAACGTTCACTGTGGATGATGATAAAGTTTCAAACAGTAATTTGACTCAAGATGTGAAGTCTTAGGTTTAGAATACATAGAACTTTGTCTACAGGTATTTTATAACTAGTGATTGAAATAAAATTAAGATTGTGGATTAAAAACCGACTTCAATTGTTATAAATCAAATATTTTGCTTTAAAAACTAAATAACTGAACCAAGTTCGATAAAATTTCTTTGAAATCAATAAGTAAGTATATGCAATCAGATAAAATAATTTTCCATATCGTTTTACAACTGACGGAGTTATGAGGTAACAAACATAATAAAATATATACGAATTGCGAACCTTTTGAAATCAATTGAAAATATTACAATATTCGGTTTAGAACACTATCCCAACTACCGACGATTACAGGATCGACCTCTAAATATTTAATGTAAATTTATAAATAGTGGGTATGCCTGTTATATCTAAGCCATTTAATCTATATATAATACATAGACTAGTTGCATTAATATAGAGGACAATTAATTAATGTATTAACATCTTTATAACTTCATGATAAATAAATAAATAATACAAAGTCTATTAGTTATCTAGTAGCCACAATACAAGTTACTCTTAGTTTGGACTTTACACTGTAACATTAATATCAAATTACAAAAAATATTAATTTAGCCTTTCACGTTTTATACACATATTAGTCCAGATCGTAAATTTGATGACCATGACAAAAGAATTCACCATAAAGAAATAACCATAGCCTATCATTTTATAATTGTACTTTCTGTATCAATATTCTATGTCTACCTATATTCGGAGGATAATAAAGAATTTGTTACGTTATAACCTCAATGCAGTTCTAGTAATAGGTATATAGATTTTCACCGCGGCAGTTTCATCTTAGCGGCAACAGATTTTCCACTTTATTCTGACAGTACCTACCACGATAGGTTACTCGGGTTGAATGGCTCGCCGGCGCCGACAAATCCAATAAAGAGTCATGCCTTGAAGAAATTTATGTTATTGACCGGATTATAGCGCCTGACGTGTGATATGTCGAGGCTCGGTACACGCCAAAATTCGGTGACCCCTCACGTTTCTATACATTCTTCTGGTTTCTTCCTTTAATATACGTGATCAAGGAAACGACAAGGGTCAAATTTACTGGCCACGTTATTGATTGTTCCACCGAACACCTTTTTTGATGCGTCAGCGATCGGTGTATACCCTTCGAGGGGTTCCTACTCTACATATTACGTGCTAAACGATTTCGAATGTTTTCCTTCATCTTTCCCGATTCCTTATTTTTCATGATCGTTGATATATTTTTTTTTAAAACGTTTAGAAAAATATTGAAGTCATAACATAAAAGTCACTTCTGTGGAAGAAATCTTGAAGAGCTGTCTGCTAATAAAAATAATTTAAGTACTTGTTTCAATGTAACAAAATTTATTTTATTTATTTATTTATTATTTATTCCACAATAAAACTTTGTACAAGTAGCGAGCTCAATATCATATGGCATTCTCTACCAACTAACCTTAGATGAAAACAGAAAGCGTATGAAGGGCAGATATGGTAAAAAACATGTGACAACATTCAACATTAAGATTTAACACCATCATGTCAGCCGTTACCGTCCACTACTGAATACGGCGATCTACCAGTAGTTGCAATGCTTGGCATGCGAGTTGGCAACCTCAGTTAAGCTTTTGGTGGTGTTTTAAGAGAGACGCTGCTGGTCATCTTTTGACCATTAAATTCCTTTAATCGCCTCTTTCGACATCCACGGAAAAAGGAAGGGCGGCCCATTCTAAGTCAAGACCACACAGCACATTAAGTAACAAGATTATCACTATTAAAATTAAAAAAAAAAATTTAGAAATATAATTAATATAACTTCGTCATATTGGAAAAATACGAAAGTAAACAAACAATAAATCTGCTCGAAATTGTTGAACTTATCGCAAAACATTATTTTAAAAAAATAGAAGCTATTTAAGGCTTTTTTGTCTTAGAACCATTTAAAAAAGTTACATGCCGCACGTATAACCTGTATATCCTTTTTTAAAAACCTGTTTATACTTTTTTAAGTAGACATTACCTACTTATTTATTCTACTATCAAAAAATGGTATTTAGATAAAATTATTATAAATAAGGTATATATTATTCAATACAATAAAGAATATTCACTTTTGCCCGCAATAAAACGAGCCAAGCCTCTTGAAAATACATATTTATACGAGCTTGTGGGGAAAAATCGAGGGTTCGCGGCATAAGTTCCCTCTTACTAAGGGTTTGTTTTAAACCTCTCATCGAACTCGGCCATAGTTTAATAAATAATACGGAATGGCCACCATCAGTAGTTATTTATAGGAGTTCGAAAGGGTCCCTTATTGGAGCACTTATTACTTACCCGTTTGATCGAGGTCATAAAAATACAGAAAGTAGAAGTGACTACTACGATGTTAGAATTGTTGAACGACAAAAATAGATTTAATTCAAGTAAATAGTGGATTGCACCACGTCGAAACGTCGGCAATAAAGAAGCAGGTATGTAGGTGCTATTTACTTGCAAAGGTTTTTTCATCGCGTTAATTCCTGATTGTGTATTTAAAATCTATCTAAACAAAGCGAAAGTTTAAAATTAACTAAAAATAGATTTACTTTATTAGAAAGACAAAACCTGAATTTTTTTGTGTGTTAATGGATTATTTTGTCTCTAAGATATCGTAAAAAACGACTATGGTGTCGAAACACAATCACTACAAGAGTAAAAGAACTCAGCCGCCTGATTAATACAATAGCAGGCTATATATTTCTCCTATAAAGAAATCCATGAGATACTGATAGCTATAATAATTGGGATTATAAAATTATGATTTAAATATAAGTCATAAGTATCAATTTCAACACACCAGTGTTGACGTTGCTCACTCAATTTTCATCCAAAGTACATTTTCAAATTTCAAACCGAATAAAAATTTGAATATTCAGATTACTTTCAACATTCCATTTTTCTTTTCATTTTAAGATACATAATTGTTCAAACAGTAAAGAGGTATTGAGGCGATTCGATTTAATTTATTTCCGTGTCGGCCGTATACATTCGAGTCAGGTATTTGTAGCTAATGGAAGCACATGTACTCACTTGCTTACTCGTACGCCGTATCCTCATCTTTAGGTGGAGATACGTAACTCTAGATTACCCTATTGGTGCTAGTTTTCCAATGTCCAAAATTAATAAAGGATGAAGCCCATCAATATAAACAATCTTATATAATATATATTTATTTATGAAGCTTGGAATAGAAAATAAGGTAACAGCATTACTACCTAATTCAAAATGGTAATCGTCGCCTACGGATATGAACAACAAATCATGTCTGTAGGTGATGATTCCATTTCCTAGCATGGACATAACAGGGTACCATTCTTGCATTATCATTTTTGAGCCCTAATTATAATCTTACTACCATATTTCACCCTTCAAACCGAAACATAATAGGAAACTGCTGATTCATTCTATGCATAATCAAAACTGCAGTAATAATTAATAAGTCACACACTAATATTTCTAATAAGTTTGAAACATAATAATTTTTCGAAATTCTTACGAAAACGAAAGAAACACGAATAGACAAAGTCGCAACAAACAGTTTTATAATAAAATAAATATCTACTGTATACATAGCTATAAAGCCACAATAAATAAAATTGATTATAATATCATTCAGCTTCACCACAAACATGGATAAGAAGGGCAATAGACGATACTCTCGGTCGAATTATTCCATAAAAAAAACATTTGATGATATAAAATTGAATTTGAAACATGATTGAATCATAAACTGTATTGATACGCACGCAAATTGATTCGTATCACGTTAATTAAATTGTAAATTGAATACAATAACACTTATTTGAAAAAGCTTTCATGACGTAATATTCTCAAAAAAATTTGTTCACGTATTAATAGAAGAGTACAGGTATTTTAAAGCGATTGCAATTTCTCAATTCGTGTGTATTTTTTTAATATGTCACACGACATCTTCGCGAAATCTAAACCGATGAACTGGTGAATTATCAAACTTTGTAATCAATAAGGTTGCTTCTGTGTCCAATATCAATTCTCACGATCGAAAGGTTTTTCTTTTACAGAGCAATATCCGAATAGTTTTATAGAGGTATTGTTTATATTAAAAAAAAAAAAACACTATTTTAAAATAACTTTTCATTCCTTCCTTACATTATTTAAAAAGAAAAAAAAAGGAAAAGGAATCCTTATATTATTATTTAAAAACTTTGTAATTCCAGAAAACGTAAAGCGGTGAGCAAGGAAGAATTTAGATAAGTGACGTTAGCCCTTGACATCAACATCTATTACATGCCTATTATGCGTCTTGTGCTCAATTTCAAACACGTAGACACATATATTAGATACCGATATTCAATTTAAAGACCTTGGGACAAGGTTCAATTTTAAAAGTCAACTTAATCTGTCAAATGGATGCTGTATTGGAAATAGAGAGTAGCTGCTTTCTAGTTTAGCAATTCCTAGTCTGAGATTCTCGGAACCTAAGGAATTCATGAATATGAGCATTTTCAAGAAGCAGCTCATTTCTAAATCAATAAAATTTGCATGCAGTCAGGATTTTTTCCATGTAATGACGAAGTAAAAATAAACATATATCACAACTCCTTTTTATTCCCAAGATATAATGGAATTGTGCTTTATTTTCTTAGTCGCATCTTACGAATCTGAAAAAAGGAAAATGAGAAGTAAAACCTGAAACAAAACTGGACTATTTGGCTAGTACGCTAATAGTTAGCTAATATGAAGAATATAAAGTTACTAGAGAACTAGAGAGTCTTTCTTCTCATTAATACGAAAAATATTTAGCAATAATTTTATATTATAAATGGTTATCAAAATAAACATTCACAAGGATTCATCAAAGAAGATGTATTATACTTTCATTTTGAAAAATGGATTGACATTAAATTCAGTTGTATTTAACCCTAATAGCAAGCAATAACTCACAAACACGTGGCCCAGATCAGTTGAAGTTCTCCCGTAATATTCTCTTTCATCATTCAAGTTCCGGGCGTTTGGTTTGTGTCGATGTGTACCCGTAAATCTTGCTTCTTTGATCAGGGTCTATAGGCCCGTTGGGAGAAGGGACCTTCTGTCGTATGCACTTAGTCACTTTTGAAATGTTACAATTTCTCGAATGTATAACTACTAGCTGTACTGCTATACTGCCGTTTTTCTATGAAGTATCTGAGATTTTGATAAGTTTATGTAGATTTATTATTTATTACTGGGCGACAGTAGCCAAATAAGTGAAAGCTATTGCAATATTATTTACTATTCCTGATAGTTAAAATACTAAACAATAATCTAAAGTAATTTCATATTAAAGGTACAAGATACAACAACGAATAAATGTGAATAAAGAACCTTCCTTTCAGAGAATAGAATAAATAAGCGAATGGTACTAACACATTCATAAAATAAACACTATGAAATATATGAAGTTGAGTAGAGTCATGATGAAAGTTTAAAATAAAACTAATGTATGTACATATATAAATTCGATACGATATATAAATAGATTACTATTAGTAAATTGCATCAGATTAATACCACTGAAATTAAGACGATAAACTCAATAGTACAACAATTAGTGTTGCCATCAGACTGCCCGTAATCGATGATTATGTAGCAAATTAATCGATAAATCGCTATGAATCGACCCAACTCGCTCTATCACGACATCGCTATTAGTAGGAACTTTGACTGGAATGGACAAAGTCTTGCTAGTTTAGTATGAACAAACAATAAACTTTAGCCTTTGATGCAACAAAAAGCGTTCATTGTGTTGCGAAATTGAAAACAATGCGCTTTCCTGGAAAAAGATGAAATTAAGATAGTATTATTTTTTAATTGTATTTTAAAAGGGAAATTTTTTGTAAGACATTCTAAGAGCGAATTTACATTATTTTTTACTGACCACTGCGAGGAACGAGAAACGTCAACAATATTGATACTGTCTATACGTATAGGTAATCACTGACTAACACGGTTCAATGTTCAATCACCAATCAGTAGATATGTCTGGGATGTTATATAGTTGTCTATTTGTAACCATGTTGCGTTCTGCTATTTATTATCATCGTCATATCAACTGTTACCTGCCCACTGCTGAACATAGGCTTTCCTCTTCTTCTAAAGCAAGATTCTGTGTTCAATACATTAACAAGATCAAGCATAGGATTTCCATTCAAGAGTTTCCGCTCCAGCTCTAATATAGGGAGCATCGTTCTCTTAGTTTCCTCTTAGAATATCCTGAAGATTACGAGAATTTTTGACAATTATTCCGTCTTCAAGATTTTATAGAATTTTGTACAATCCGTGCCTACGTGAAACAGGCCACGTAATAAAACACATTCATTTTTTATTTATATTTATACCTATAGATATATACATGGTTATCTATGCATTATCATTTGTATGTACATAAATTGTAAGCCGAGATCATCTGTATCAAATGTCACTTCATAATAAATTGCAGTTTTCCAAATAGCGTGATATGAGTAGTAGAATATCTATTATCAAAGATCGATAACCAAGCTATTAAATTATGATACTTGACAATGACATTGAATATTTGTAGTTTATTTAGGTATATGCAATTGCATGTGGTTTTCAAAGAAAAAAAAAATTAATAGTTATAAATTACTTTAAAAAATTTTGATTTAGAATTCGACATCTAGACATTCCAAGCAATATAGATACTAAACCTTTCGTTTTAGAATAAATAAAAATTAAAAAAAATTGACTATAACTATTTTAAGTCTTAGTACTTATCAATATTTTATAAGTTTAACGGACAAGTGTAAACAAAAAAAATACATAAAATATTTCTTTTAGTTCATCAAATACAATTATGGAGTTATTGCCTTTGTAAACAAATGGCCTCATTATCCTACAAATATCAATGACACAGAAAAATTATGCTTTTAAAGAAAACAAAAATCAATCTAGTAACTTCTGGTATAAATTTCATAACTTTTGTTACGTAAATGACTTTTTTTTTCTAAATACCTAAGTGTACTACTACTTCTCCATACAAAGAAAGTAAATTTTTTGTTCCAAGTTCCTACTATACTATATATACTATTTATATCCGACAGTTTCATTTTGAATAAAAACAACCTGTATTAATAATCCTATTTATATAATGTAATTATAATATCTTTCATGTAAAAACGACTGAACGGATTTGAAGGAAATTTGGTACACGGGTAGGTTATATACAAACTTAATATATCTATAAGATACTTCTGTACTGATTCACGCGGACGAAGCCATGGGATACAACTTGTCTAAAATACGGTCCATGCAACATTTTATTTTAATCCGTTCAAATTTTGACCATGTTTGAATAACAAACATTCAAATATCTTTATAAATTTTTATTTCTAAAAAACCGTAACGCACATTGTTATAAACTCTTTTACGATACCCAGTTACAAAAAAAATCACTCACATTTTAATCTATCACACTGATCTTCATCATTCATTATTACACTCGAATATCCAAGAACTATAACTCACTATAGATGCTAAAACCATTTTGCTAAGCTATTAGCACCTTAATTACCTACACTTAAGGCTCTTAACGATCTGGCCTCGGAACACTGGAATTGTAATGGCATGGAAATACAGGAGAAGTATTCGCAACTGTCACATTGTAGCAAAATATATTTATAATAAATTATTTTCAAGTGAATTCTTGACAAATTAATATGGAGAATACACGGAAAAGTTATTTTAGTTTCTGCATGGTCTACAAAAATATTTACGTGGGTACGAATTACGTACTCTTTTTAAATTTCAAGCTATCGTTATATATTTTCATTTTATATGTTCATACAAATTGTCGCCAAAGACCTCTTTAATAAGCCTGTAAGGAACACGGGCGCGATGATGAATAGATAAACCAAATTCGTAATAATCATAGCACTCTCCCGATATTACTATATTAAGCAAATACTTTACACCGAAAAAATCAATGAAAAATAATGGCTATGTCGCAATGAAGATTTTTAGATGACTTTTTAAATAAATACATTTTTTACATTTAACCACAGAATGAACTAATCAAGTAGTAAAAATAAAAATAATAAAATGTGAATCAAGATATAGGATACCCATTACAGTAGTAAAATGTTTCATTTCCATAAGAAAATACACAATTTTACTGAGCGATGATTGCAAATATAACTAACATAAGATACATCCCTATAACAATCATCATCATCAGCCGTTAACTGTCCACAGCTGAACATACGCCTCCCCCATAAGGGATGTTTTGCCAGTAGTTGCTACGCTTGACAGGCGGATTGGCAACCGCTGTTAGCCTTTGGTGATGTTTTAAGAGGGACGCTGCTGGCTATCCTCGACCATTAAATTCCTTTAGCCGCCTTTTAAAACACCCACGAGAAAAGAAGTGTGACCCATTATATGCCAGGACCACATAGCGACACACACTTTATAACAATTACGAAAAACTTGAGACCAAACTAACTAAATAAATAGCATATTCATCAATACAGTTGGTATCCCAGTACTAAAGTGTAATTGGCTCTCAATATTTTAGGGGAACGGTATTCCATATTCCCTGCTATAACGGAGGAAAAAAGTAAATTCTATCATGTATAAAAGTACACAATACACAATAGTATTTACTTAGATGATACCAACTTCTTATACATTCAACTTGAGGTTTTAGTTTTTTATTAAATCGATTAAATAATGTATTAATTCCATAAAATCGCATACATTATTTATGTGGGAACGTATACATTTACATAGTACCTATTATAACAGCTTAGTTAATTATGATGATCAGTTTACGCACTCATTCAAGCGAAGAAACGAGAATTAATTAAACATGCTTTAAGTATACGAGTGCATGTAATAATTATTGAAATTAATACTCCATTACGGAACATTATTTTTTCAGATTCGAGTAAAAACGCAACGTATCCACACTTATTATCATTGATGAAGGTAACATTTGATTTAACGTGGTACATTAATGATAATTAAGATCATGTCCAATAAAAAAAAACCGACTTCAATTGTGACACAACTAGTTATTTTGAATTAAAAAGTAAACTACTAAATCAATAATTTCTCTTGGACCAATCTATAAGTATATCCTTTCAATTAAAAAACGAATTTTCTAAATCGGTTTCGAACTAATGAAGTTATGAGGTAACATATATAAAAAAATACAAATTGAAAACCTCCTTCTTTTTTAAGTCGGTTGAAAACGGTACGTATACAAAGCTAAATAGAGGAACCTACTTTATTTTTATAGAATTTAATGCAAAGGTAAACAAATTCTGTTAAAATTGTCATAGAAACACTCTCTAAATACAATTAGTAAAAGATCAAAAGATTCCATCGATTATTTATTTATACTGCCTACATTATTGGATACAAATTGTCTATAGTTAGATCAAGTATTCGTTAAACATCATATAAATATCTTATACATACTTATTCTTATAAATACACATAAAACATGGTACCAAAACCCATTACAGCTTGTATTAATTTTCAGAAATTCAATATGGACGTACCGGAATACATTACAGTGTAGCTGTAATTTATAGCGAACTGGTGGCCGAGTTGTTGAGATAGTTCGCAGCAGTTTACGGTCAGGGAAACTGGTTGATGCAGGAGCAAGGAGAATTGTGCGGACACGCCGGATTTGTGGGGAAAGCTGCCACAGAGTAACGAACGAAACGGACGGTTGTAGTAGTGTAAACTATTTTTCCCCAAGGGTTCCCCAACACTATTAGAAAGTGTTTCTAACATCAATTTCGTCTTTTCCTTCACCTTGTTGTTGCCCACAAGTCAATAGATACTATAAATAAATTTTTATTTATATTTTCTGTAAATAATTTATATTAAGCTGTAGATAAACCGTGAGAGCTAGATAAGCTACTTAAAAAACCATCAATACACCAACAAGTCTTCAGGTGTTGCAGCCGCTGAGAGTAACAGTTGTCACTTATCACCAGGTGAGAAACACACAAGTTTTTTTAATGAATGCCCTGCCTGTTCTAACGGTATATACTGACGGGGCACCAGTGAAGCATGATGCTGAAGTATGAATATAGGATAGAACTGGTAGTCCGCATTACTAACAATGCCTTCCCTTCCGCAACACACAAGTTTACTTGTGCAATTAAAAAGCCTTTTGGCGTTTATTTTCATTTGAATGTTTTTTCTTTGTTTGTTACATCATAACTCCATCAGTTCTAAACCGATTTGGAAAATTCTTTTTTTTATCTGAAACAGACGAATAGAAACAAAAGACATACTTAAGAATAGTCCCGTAGAAATTTTATGAAAATCAATTCAGCAGTTTAGTTTTTAGATCAAACTAACTGGTTTTGTCACGATTAAAGTCTGTTTGTTTTTGTAAAACACTTTCTTTAATTATTTATGACAAAGACCACGGTAGTTTCAAACCAAAACACAACAAATTTAATATTAATTTATAAGCAATAATTCCCATTATAATAAATGTATGTACATATACGAATATATTCAAAATAAGTTTAATTATTATTTGTTTTTTATTTTGCTTTAAGATGTTTACTGTCCGCTCACAAGGTCCATGATGATATTGTAATAATGTACTATAATCATTTTAGTAAATATAAAATTTACCATCACGTGGGCCATACACTTGTTTGTCACGTGGAGGTCGACCTAATAAGGCATATTGCTAGCAATGGGGCTGTCAAACTCTATTGCTAACAATCCCTTTCCCCCCAAAATCAGACGCTATCAAAATAAAATATACCTAATACTCAAAGATCGGGGGGGAAAGGGATTCTTAGTAATAGAGACTGAGAATCCTATTATATACCCAACCAGGTCGACCTCCTCGCGGTTCCCCCTGGAAACTATCATGGTTAATTCCTGACGAATTCATCATGATGGGCTAACTGGCCTGTTTTCATTCTCATCTATCACCCTTCACTGGTGCTCCGCCAGCGTATCCCGTTAGCGCAGGCGGTGTTACTATAACATTTTCACCCATCAAAAAAAAAAAAAAAAAAAAAAAAAAAAAAAAAAAAAAAAACTCAAAGATCAATCGCGGCCAGTTCAATATCTTTAAAATTAATAGAATTTGCCAGTATAGCAAAACACAATAAATATAAAGAGCGATTGGTAATAAATACTGATTTTATTATTAACTTTCACTGCGTTAATAGGCTTAAAATTAAATTAATCTTGATGGAGTACGTCAATCAAAGTAGCGCGTTACTTTCATGTCATTAATGCTATTACAAGCAATTTGAATGTATGTTTTAGTAATAAAGAAGAAATTGCCTAACTGAACGAATGAACTAAAAGTGCAGATAGTCAACTTTCTGCCAATTAATAGTAAAAGAAAATTAAGAGCAAAAATATAATTATAACGGCCACCTATTTAATTCCACTTTGATATAAAAAATAAAGTAATTAAAAGAATATTGAAACTTGTTCTTATTTTAGAAATGTTCTGTTTAAATTTGAATGTTTAAAATAAAGCCTTAATCCTTTTGTAATAAAACACAAATCGTTTACAATATTGGAGTCCGTCAATAATATTTTCCTTCCACCTTAGTTTA